AAAAACAAAGAGGAAAAAAACGAAAAACAAAAAAAGTAGTGTATGGAGTCGAACGTTGGCAGTGTAACCGCGGTTACTGCGGTTACCGTGAGAATTTCAACCGCGGATAACCTATCCGCGGTTGCGGATTGCGGTTTTTGGTGACGGTTTCCACTGCAGTCCCTATCTAAGATCGCGTCTGTCTCCGACCTTGGCCATCAGCGCGCACGGGATAAAATGGCCGCCGATTCCACCTATGCACAGGTACATCGCCGTATCGTTGAATCTGGGGAGTGGGATAGGTGAAATCTCTGCCTCTTGAAGTCAAAAAAGTCCGAATATCTTACGCGTAATCTGTAGAATTTATGCAGCACTAATAGCACGGCTCAGTGAGCTGGGCTGGATTGATTCCTTGCGGCATTCAGCCAGAGGTGTGTTGAATGTAGACTTTGAAACGGAGAAGGCTTGACTGCCCCGGTGTTTCTGTGTCACTAATGCCTATATTTAGATCATGCTCGCCATATGCAATTCCGAGACCTCTTAGCGGAAGTTGAAGAACAATGTAACTGTAAGTTCTCCAACTTACGCTCGATCCTCTAAGTTCTGTGACAGACTTCTTTTGTTTCCTTGCATTACTTCAGCATCCGTACCACTCGCCGTTAGGCAAGAGATCATGGGCCTGATACGGAACTTTGTAGAGAAACAGTTTGATTGACCTGGAATTGCCCGAGCTTATGAAATGAGTGGCCTATTGAATTTTCCATGTCTATTTCCTTCTATTGATTTGCTTGTGTTTTCTTAAACTGAAGCATTTGTATCAGGTCACTCATCCTTAAATTATACAGTTATGTAGATGTATCAGTGCAGTCAATATCAACCTGTGACCTGTTTATCAGGCTCCTGTATCAGTACCATACGCCTTGCACTCAAGATATCGGCGGGATTCTATTTACCGGCTGCAAATATTATTTTCGGATGCAGACGGCTCTGATTTATCCTAAATCACCAGCATCGATCTCACGATAGCTTTCTTACCAGCTTATTGTACCGCGAATGCCAAACAACTCTTCTGGTTCATGCCCCACAAGTCCTGCTTCAGTTACCTCGAGCCGTGCCACTTCACGTTCGTCAACGCCTGATCAAGTTTTGAGTCCATTTCCCAAGGTATCATGTACACTTTCAAAGGGTCCGAACGAAATACAGTTGGATAAAGGTACGTTGATTATACAATCCATTCCGAGAGGGACGATGTAACATGTACATGAGTATGCAGTAATAAGCTCACTCGGAATGAAAACGAGGAAAACTCTCAATGGTAGTCATTTCAATATGATAGGTTATGTATTCTTGGTTTCTGGTTGAAACCCTTGATCTAACTTAATGCCAGCTTACAAGGATACAGACACTCCAGACAAGATTGAAGTCTTTGACCGGCCAAAGAGACTTTGCGTGCGACACATGTATGTTAATCCTTGAGTCATTCAATCAGCTAGTTGATAAAGAGTTTCTCGACAATAGTATGTGGCATTTGCAACTGTTCTGAAGAGTGGAGCTTTATTAGCTTTCAGGCAGATGAAGCTGCAGAACTGCGATTCTGTACGTGTCTGCTGCATTACATTATGTAAGAAATTTGAACAGAACATTAATATGTATGCATTTTCAGACGCACGTCAGAATCGTTGCACTCTCCAGTGGTTTGCTTACATGGATAAATGACGGGCTTCGCATCAGTTTATAGGTGAGCAATTATATATCTACTCAACCTTTTATTTTGTTGATAACTGGCTTCCCTTTTTTTCGCCAGTCAGAGATCCAAATTGCGATAAGCACATATGTCTGAGGTCTGAGTCAGAGACCAAAGCTTTGTATAATGCAGGAGATAAACTTCAAGGACTGAGTGGAGTAAAGATCGAAATGAAGAAAGAAAAGGGGGCCGAAAGAGGAGATAGACAAGCTCATGAGCTCTGGGTACAGACTGGTGATTAGAAAGTGATATGTATCTAGATAATTAAGTGCATGGTATATGGATATTTCATTACCCATAAGTAGCACAGATATTGGCCAAGGAGCTACATGTTGCTGTTTGTGGGAAGTTTTACTCATAAATTCCCTGGGTGATGCAATAATGAACAGCTAAAGATATTGTACATTCTGCCACTAGCTTTGCTTAATACAAATCATCAGAGCGGTGGTCAATAAATGCAGCAGGCCTCAGTAATCTGGCCAAAAGCATGCAGTATAGTATGCAAGTCAGGCAGAGTAGTTTAAATGTGTTTGTAGATGGTGCCATGCCCAAACGAGTGCAAGGAAGCAATGATTCATGTGCTCAATCTTGGTTTACGGATGGATGCCTTCACGGCTACCAGCCATCGATCCGAATGCTTCTAATCCTTCAACCACACATTGCATAATTATGATCGTTGTTACGAGGTCGGAACAAAAAAATTACAAATGACGTCCGCGAATAAATTCAAAAGGGTTAGCATGATGACAAGGCATCTCGTTCCAACAGAAAAAGGTACGGTATGCATATGTTTACAAGGAATGGTATACGTTAAAAGTCTGACTTTTCGGGAAAGAAAGGAAATAGAAAGCCGTATTTCAAAACATTCCCTCAGATTTCGTGGAAATTATTACTGGCCAGTCGGCGGACTAGGTGCGGGTTGAGCATTTGTTTCTTGAACTGGCGGCGTAGTTTGCTGAGGATAAGTAGCCTGTTGTGGGTAGGTGGCCTGTTGCGGGTAGGTGGCCTGTGCCGGATAAACAAACTGCGTTTGATACGTAGGGTTCTGTCCTGGATACAAACCTGGGAAAATGTCAGTTACAGACACTTAGATAAGAGAGAAAGTAGCTCACCAGCTGCTTTAGTCCAATTTGAGCGCCGGATACCAACGAAGATGATAACCGCTGCCGTAGCAGAGTGGAAGACGTTTGAAAGTAATACGGATGCAAGGGAAGCAGCTTGCAGAGTATTAAGATTCTGGATTGAAACTGTCAGGCCTGAGGGCGAGAAGAGAATCACGAAGATGATATCCTCGATAATGTGCAAGACATGCAATGGCAACGCAACGAAAAGTAGTGTTTTAATGACCTACACATTGTTGGTCAATACCCAACAAATAAGCATGCAACTGAACATACTTTGTCGTCGATCCCGGCCTTACGTACAGTCTTCAGTCCAGCGACACCAATGGCGCCAATTACAAATGCCGAGATATACCATATAGCGGCGAAAACGTATGATAGATCAAGGTACTTGTTATACCTGTCCTGGACCTCCCTTCGCGTGAGATCCTCATCCAGATAAACTCCCCTTAGGTATTTGATGAGTAACGCTGTTGATGCAATGCCAAAGACGATAATTAGGACGAATTCCACCAGATAGGCTGCGTCCCATGCAGGGCTCATGCGTGACGTGCGATTCTCTGGTGATTGGATGAGTTTATTTGCCCTTCCTTTGATCAGCATTGCGAACGTAAGGAAAAGAAAGGCCAGCGTCCAGCTGGAAAAGAATGCGCCAATGCTTGACAGGGCAATGTATGAGTTGACCGAGAAATCGTCATTCGGATCACCATCCGCCGCTATGAAATCGCTTGCGATCCCCACAATCGCCGTAATGAACGAAAACACCATCGCGAACAGTAGGGGAACATATGCAAGGCGGTGACCGCGTGCGAATGCAAGAGCGATGAATCCAACGACCAAAAGGACAATGTAGATGAGCGCAAAAATGAATCTTATGACCGTAGTACCCTACAAGGGTCCATCAGTGGTAGATCTTCAGACATTTGTTGAAATACGCACTGTCTGCAAGCCAGTAGCCTCATAATCGTATCCTTTGACGCATCCTGCCACGGATAAAACTGCTAGGAGGACGGAGAGCGACGTCGCCATGGTGGACTAGTACAAACTCGTTGCCTCAACTCGCCAAGCTTTTAACTGGTCAGGTTCGGTTGTTGTGCTAGTCTTCATTGGGCCAATGACCAGATATTCAGGGGGGTGCACTGCATAAGTTTTTTTTTGACAGATGTGATGTGATTTAACTGGCAACGAGGCTATGCAATAACGTAGGTGAACCTTCTTCTGATAATTGATTAATATAATACTACCGAATTTGATCAAGAGTGAGCCAATTCATTACAGAACGGAGAAAGTTGGTAATTGTGGAATCCTCAATCTGTCGATATAGACCTCCGAAATCAGGTCAGATCAGTACTGGACACAGAACAGTCTCATCGCGGTTTCAATAAAAGCTGGTAAAGCAACTGGTATATACCGTATACACCTGTCAAACCTGTCTCTAGTTAGAAAACGTGGACTGCAACAGGCGATCGAGTGAACCAAGACATGATCAGGTAGGAAAACAGCCAAGTCTTTATCGAAGCGAATGTCTCTGACGATTGCTTTCCAGCTGATGCAGTTGAACAGAACGTACTAGTAGAACAAGAACTAACTGACCGCAAACAGCAATTCGAAGTCTGGCTGCGAGTGTCTCGGCGTCTCCCGCAAAGCAATGCTTTGCGCCAGTTTTGGTAGTTGTTTCCGACCGAGTGATGTTTGGCGTTAGCTCTATTTTGCATTGTTGCATGCCGCATTTGCAAGGGACATATGCTAGTGGTGCTCGAGCTACGTTGAAACAAGACACGCTAGTATTGCAGCAGCATAACATTAATAAAGCAACTACTACCGTGGGCTGATGAATTCTTATTGTTATTCATCCTCAACTTGGGCTGAGGAAACCTTGATCTAATTTGCAAGTACTTGTCTACTGCTCTATTGGTTTACTCTGATCTGAAACAATGCAAACCAATAATGCATAGCATTCAGCTAGATAATGGATAATTCTACACATGCAATAAGTTGTAAAGGTGTAAAGATATATCTGCTTATCTGCTTATCTGCTTATATATTTATTTTCAGTAATACAAAGTAGAATTAGTATGTAAAAATATAAAACACAAAATGTATTTATTACAAAGTGAATAAAACTGATCATATGTTGTCATAATTGACAGACACTGACATTGTAATAACAACAAAGTACTTGCATGTTTGTTTTTAGGGCTTACAATCTTATAAAAGAATATTTACTTAATAAAGAATTAAATTAACTCTCTTTTACAGTAAATTATTTTAATAAATTGCTTTATTATAATGAAGCAGTGAACAAGAAGATTAAGAAGCCTGGAACTAGTAATACTAAGAAGAGTTGTCTTATAGATTGTAAAAGCAGGCTAGAATTGCTTAAGTAGAGATACTCTAAATATAAACTAAGTAATATAGTAGAACATATCTTATTACATTATATTATAATGAATAAATAGTGTAATGTATAAACTTTTGGCCAGACCAAAACTCAGATTCTCAGCCAAAATGTATTGTTATAATACATAAATTGTATAATGTATTAAGTTTAGCCCTCTCTTAATGTTATACAATAAAACATTTTCAACTATAAGTTAATTAATTCTATATTTTAAAGACTAATAATAAGTTAAAATCTATTTAGTCTGCTCAGAATACTATTAAGAAGAGGAGTGAATGAAATACAGTTATAAATACTATATTATAGTTACTTTAATTAATAGTAAAGATGTAGACAGAATCATATACAGTGAAACCTGTCAATAAGCATACTTGTAGTTTAGCATTTCCTCTCAATAAGCATGAAAAATTTGATCCACCAAGTTGGTAGGCAGGAAAATAGAGGTATATTAAGTATAAAGGACATTAAGCATTAAGCATTAAGGTGTGAGATTGAGAATATGCTTAATTAAAGGAAATTTTGGGTCATGTGACAGTGCAGATCATGACCTGGAGAGAGCCACTTTTTGTACAGGCCACCTCCATTTTGTAAAATAAATGCATAATGTAATGAAAACCACTATTAAAACTTATTTTTCATCATGTCTGAGGAGCTTGGATGTGCACAGAACCCAGATAGAACACTCAAGGATGCTAGTGAAATTGTTTTCACTTATTCTAGAGAAGCTTCCTCTGTCAATCTCTCAGCTCTGCTTCCAGATATCTATGCTTCCACTAGTATTCAT